ACATCCATGTATAAGTGCACTCACACGGTTCAAATCTATTTTACTCAAAGGTCAATTGCAGTTGATTGAGTCTCACAAAAATCTCGAGATTTTGATCAGGATTGCATTCAACACAATGATTAATTTGAAAGCAAAATTAACAGCTCTGTCACTGAGTCTTCCTATCTATGAACATGGTATCTCTATTTATTAGGTCATATTTAATATCCTTCATTTAGGTAATTTTTGTCATAAAAAATGTTGCACTTCCTCTGTTACACGATTCTCAAGTTCACTACAGTTTTATTGGTATTATAAGTAGCATCTCTAGACCACATTTTTGAAGACTTATTTTTTGAGAAAGAGAGGGGGACAGAGAGGAAGAGAATCTCAAGCAGACTCCCTGCTGAGCATGGAGTCAGATGGAGGGCTCTGAAGCTGATATCACAACCTGAGCTGAAATCAAGAGCTGGCCATTTAACCCACTGAGCTACCCAGGCACCTCTCTAGAACACATTTTTGAAGAGCTTTGTTACTGGTGTGTAGAAATTGTATTTGTTTATATATGGATCTCAGATTCAGAAGATTTGCTCAACTTTCCTAACAGCTCAAATATTATTATAGTATCTTGAATTCTCTATATGGTCAATTCTAACATCTGTAAATACGGACATTTAGATTTCCTCTCTTTTCAAGTTTAACTCACCTGCTTAGAGTTTTGATACAACACTGAAGAGGAGTGGTAATACAGAACATCCTCTTTGTTCTGACTTCCAAGAAAATATTTCTAAAATTCTCCAATTGAGTACAATGCTTTTAACTGTAGATTTTTATAGATACACTCAGTTAAGACAAAGAATTTCTTTTCTACCCTTATTTCGTTGAAAATTTTGTTTTGTTTATCATGAATAGGTGTTGAATTTTATCAAATCTTTTTCTATGTCTATTGAAATGAATGTATGGGTTTTCTCTCTTAAATGTATAAGTTACATTAAGAGATTTTCCAATATTAAACCACCCTCACATTCCTGGAATATCGTTATTGACATAGATAACATAGACACATTCCTCCCACCTGCCCATTCCTGCTCATCAGGGAGCCTGCTTCTCCCTTTGCCCCTCCCCACTGATTGTGCATGCACATGACTCTCTCTCAAATAAATAAAATCTTTAAAAAAAATTTAAGTATAATTTTTATAAAAGGGGAAAATTTGGAAAGATACTTCACAAAAGAGGATATATAAGCACATGAAAAGTACATGAGGTCTGAAGAAATGCAACTTCAAGCCAAAATGAGATACCAGAATCTATTTCATGGACAATTAGATCCACAACTAATAATTCCATGTAAAGAACTTTGGTAGAAACATTTACTTACTCATTTTCACTACTACATATGGAAAGGAAAAGAAAAATAAACAAAGGTCAATATGAAAGTCAAATTCTAGAGGGGAAAGAAATTTGTTTAAATACCTGAATTTGAAATGTCATCTGGAATATCCAGAAATCCTTATGGAACCAAGTATGAATATGAACAGAACCTAATATTTTATCGGAACATAGACATTTTAAACTCTTTCTTTTCTTGATCATCTTTCTGGGGGTGTTTTATCTTTGTCTTAAATGGAACCCTGTCTTATCATCTCCTATTTCGGCAGTCAGTAAAGTTTAATTTTAATGCAAACTCCTATTCTAACTTTAATTACTAAATAAAATAAGCATATCAAAAAAGCATAGAAAACAATATAATAAAAAGTGTCTCCATACTTGAATTTTGTCAAATCTTAACCTTTTTTTGTCATATTTGCTTCAAAGTTCTTTTTGGTAACTTCTTGTTTTGTTTTCCATACTGTTGAAGCAAATACAACATTACAGACATAGGTGAAACCCCGCTGTGTACCCTTCTCCATTTTCATTCCCCTTTTGTACTCTCCAGAAGTAGCCAGCACCCTGCTGGACTCTGCAGGGCGCTCTCAACATTTTCAATATTATCAACAGTGCTGTCGGATGACCGTTAATCAGCAGGTGCGCTCTATGGAAAAGTGCACATACAACCTTGGAGTATAACTGCGAACTTAGGGTTAGATGCTGCTTCAGTTTTATTACTGTCTCTTCAAGCTAAACATACACCTGTCCTTGACCCAGCAATGCTACCCTAGGTATACACCCAAGAGAACGAGGGCACCTGTCTGCTGATGTACAGGTGCAAAAATGGGACAGCAGCCTTATCAAAAATAGTCCCAAACTGGGGGGGAAAGCAATTATTTACCACGAAGATAAATATACTGCAGCATATTCATACAACAGAATAACACCTAGAAATACAGAAGAACCAACCGGTAATGCAGTAACACAGGTCAATTCAGCAGTACTCTGGACTGAAAGAAGCCAATACAGAAGATAGCACACTGTCCTCCAAGGAGAGATAAAAACTAATCTGTTGGGAAGAAAGTCAGAATAGTGGTTCACTATTGTTGTGGGGTACTGGCCAGGAAAAGGCATTTCTGTTATGTTAGAAGTGTTCAGTAACTTGATCTGTGTGGCAATAACACAGGTATACACATATGCAAAAACTCCTAAGTTGTACCTTCAAAATCTGTGCACACTTTATACTTCAATTTAAATGTTTTTACTTTTTTTTTTTTTAAAGATTTTATGTATTTGAGAGAGAGACAGAGATAGCTAGAGAGAACACGAGTGGGGAAGAGAGGGAGAAGCAGATTCCCTCCTGAGTGGGGAGTCTGATGTGGGGCTCGATCCCAGGATGCTGGGCTCATGGCCTGAGCCAAAGGCAGACGCTTAACCGACTAAAACACCCAGGCACCCCAATTTCAATGTTTTTAAAAATTATATCAGTTTTTGTTTCTTATTAAAAATAAACAGTATGGGACGCCTGGGTGGCTCAGTTGGTTAAGCAGCTGCCTTCGGCTCAGGTCATGATCCCAGCGTCCTGGGATCGAGTCCCACATCGAGCTCCTTGCTCGTCAGGGAGCCTGCTTCTCCCTCTGCCTCTGCCTGCCATTCTGCCTGCCATTCTGTCTGCCTGTGCTCGCTCTCTCTCCCTCTCTCTCTCTGACAAATAAATAAATAAAATCTTTTAAAAAAAAATAAATAAATAAATAAACAGTATAGGGGTGCCTGGGTGGCTCATCATTAAGCATCTGCCTTTGGCTCAGTTCACGATCCGAGGGTCCTAGGATCAAGCCCCACATTGGGCTCCCTGCTCAGCCGGAAGCCTGCTTCTCCCTCTCCCACTCCCCTAGCTTGTGTTCCCTCTCTCGCTGTGTCTCTCTGTGTCAAATAAATAAAAACTTAAAAAAAAAAAAAGATAAATGCTATAAAAAATGAGAAAATCAATACAAATATTTTCTCTGTGGTACTTTACTAAACCATAAGAATCAAGAAGTTTGTATGTTTTATCCTCTTTCTACAGTGTCAAGATTCCTTAAATCTTAGTTGAAATGATGGTCACACCATGTAAGAGACAAAAAAAAGTTTTAATGGAACATCTTCAGAGAAGAGTAAACATGCCACAAAAACCCTACTAAAGACAAGAAGAAAAGAGTGTTTGTATCCAATGAGGCGTGAAAGCCCTAACCCCTTCTCCCACTAGACTCCCACAGCAGGAAGACTGGAAGAGCCCCTCTGAGAAACTGATCAGCCCAAAGAAAAGGCCTACAGAGAACAGAGTGCCCAGAGAAACAGACCATGCAGAGAGAGTTAAAAGCAAGTAAAAGTCCTGCCCACACACAGAACTTACAATCAAGTTTTTAGTGCCTTACTTCTAAATAAAACAAACACTGATCACCAAACATTTGACTTAAGCCTCCAACATAGACAAAGTCAGAAGTCAAAGAAGAAAACGAAACTAAGAAGATATGCAATGTATTTTAATGTACTTAGAGGGAATTCTCCGTTTTGTTGAGGTATGGGAGCTGAATGAGTGATGGATACATGAATAAAAAACTGGGCAATCGCGTGCTACAGAAAAACCAAAACATGAACAAGAAAGGAAATGCAATGATCATACATTACATAGCTGAGCTAAGAATACTAGTTAATCATAAGCATGAAAAAGCAGAGTTCTCAAGCTGAAAATGGTAATAAAATGGAAGGAGGGGTAAAAGTATATGAGTGGAAAGGGGGCTGGGAAGCCAGAGGGACCAGGCATGATATGCAGGAAGGAGAGCTAATTATGACTTATTTTCCATTTTAGGAAGAGGATAGTTAATATCTAAATCTGGAAAATCAAGAAATAACAAAATAAGAACGTTATTTAGAAACATGGGCAAAGCACTGGTCTTTGGGGAGTGGGAATCAGGTGTAGTAGGGTAGACATGGGATATATTATGTTGCATTAAAACCTGGTATATAAGTTTTAAACCTTCTGTATAAGTTTTAAAACAATGTGTACATATGTTGGGGTGCCTGGCTGGGTCAGTCAGTGGTTGTAAATTTGAGCCCCACATTGGGTGCAGAGATTACTTAAAAATAAAATCTTAAAAAACACTATATACATGTGTTACTTTGATACAAAGAAAATACGAAGAGGAAGATAAAAATCAGTTTGGGGTTGGAACTCACCCATAAGACTAAAACTGAAAGAGTTAAATTATGTTATATTGTTTTCAAACACATAAAACAATTTCTCAGGCTTCTTCTCTTTATTTCCTATTCTTTCACTTATTCTGTATACAAGATGCAACCTGTTTGACAATTTCTGCCACAACTAAGAAGGGGAAACGAAACAGAGAGGAAAAATGAACTCAGTGGCAGCAAAAACATTTGCCTCAGTTACTGAGGAAACCATTTTGACAGAGTTTTTAATAGTGGCTAATAGTCATTCAGAAAAAAAGCACTTCATAAATCTGAAGACAGGCACACCATTTCTAAGTCAGATCCTTGTGGAAACATCTACCAGAAGGAAGAGAAGGAAGAAACGCTAAGGCTGCAGTAAATCTTGTGGAGGGACCTGCCTATTCTGTAACTCTGAAACTCTAAGCAAAGTAACGGTAACTTACCACTTCGTGAATTGATCTATTAAAGCCATCGTCTTCTGTGAGGATCAATAATATTATAAGGGCCATATACACATGGTGTGAATTTCTTTCTTCGACATGATACAGAATCTCAAGAATTGGTAAAACCTATCAAACAGAAATTTTAATTTACTATTTCAATTACTTTAAGACAAATGTTTTCAACCTTTATGCTTTTATTATACACCGTTTTAATTTAATAGTTATAGGTTTTTTCAAAGGAAAAGAAAACCACACAAACCAGCATATGCCTGAAAGTACTTTCCCCACGTATAGCTCCAACACCAATAGAGAAAACAACCACCCTGGATGACACTGTGCTACTACGTAAAGAGCGGGTCTGCAGAGACCACTCAGGCCGATATGTGACACCGAGTAGAAGCAGGTCTGCCTCTAGTCTAGCAGGAACTTATACACAATAATGTCTTCTTACAAATACTAATGTATCAAACATTACCTTAATAGGAAAGATTATAGAATAAAATTATTAACAAAATCAGATCAGCCCAGTAACATTTTCTAATCATAGTCCCAATATTATAAAGTTAAAAAGACAGATAAGGACATAAGTTGAGACATTATCAAAATAATCTATATAAAGTTAAAAACAAAAATGAACATATAACCCTCTACCCCCACTCCAAAAAAACCCCCCAAAACAAAACCTGTTAAGTGTTTACTGGTGTATGTCATCACGTAGAGATGTCTGTTCCCTGCAAATTCTTAGGTACCAACATACTTACCATGGAACTTTCTAGAACAGGTGGTGTCCTGGGCTTTCTGCTTACTGCCATCATCTCCCTTAGGATACATCACACTCAGAATTGTCTCTGCTTATTCTCACTCACCCCTCAGTAAACAAGCCATCTCCCAAGTTTTTACTCACATGAGCAGTACACTGTTACATCTAATTTTACTACTTAAAATAACCAATGTTTCCCACAGATAGCTGGTGTGCAGACAGGTTCGCTCATCACGTATTTTGTCCTTAGTGTCACTTTGACATGGAACATACTCTTAAAATGAATTCTAACATTCCATGTTAACTCAGTATTTTATCTTTAACACTGAAAAAATGGCCACCAGCCCTGGTAAATCCTGCTGTCAACCTATAAAACCTGGTACAGAGGGAACATTCCTATTGTCACCAGCAAGCTGCTGGCTATTTAGGGATGTTCAAAATTCTGTTAACGTATAAATAACCCACAGGTATCTCTATAGAATGTATTTCAATTATAACATTAACACCTTGGTGAGGTAAGGTTACTTCCCACTCACGGAAACATTTTTGGTTACACATTAGTTACAAATGGAAATCCGTGATTCCCTACCGGAGTTTTTCACTCACATAATAAAGGAATAGTGTACATGTCAATTGCTATCTGGTATAGGTGCCCTAAAGAAACTCTAACAACACTACCAGAATTGAGATCAGGCAGACCTCAAGCCTAAGCCTCCCAAAGGGATGGGACACATGGGAAACCAAGCTTAGCCATGTTCACCAGGAAATTGCTGTGACTGGGACTAGCTATAGGCACTTGGTGGGTGGACATTTAGCATCTGCAAAGAACCACCAGGGTATAAAAACTTGAGAATGGTGGCGGTGCTTCCTGAAAGACTCCATCAGGCTGGACCCTGGGCAGGGAGAGACCTGGAGGACAGGGAAGCCATGTGCTGTGTCTCCCACACTATAAACTTCATACCCCGTCTGTGCCTGGTGGCAGGTCCCTGTCAATCTCTCAACCATCACCTTTGCAACCAGGCAAACATACCTTACCCTCCTGGGAAAAAAAAACTGCTCTTCAAAAGATTAAACAATACAGAAAGTTTGAAATGTGTAGTGGGATACTTACAAGATTTTCCATATCTGTGCGAGCCAACATGTATGTTCTAACATTACTATTCTGATGGAGCAATGTGTACAAGAGGAGAGTTGCCTGGTCAGATGTCTGCTGTTCACACAGGGCTGTGTACAAACTGTTGAAGTTAATCTGGAAAGTGTGTGGAATTGATGAGGGGAAAGGACTGCTGTCTGGAACAGAGAAACCACAGAATTTTTAAAATATTATGTCAGGATTTTCTGGACCATGCCTCATGTAAATTAGAAAAACACTGTTCACATGTACCATTCATTTCCCATCAACTTGGTACGTCACTACATTTCAGATTCAAAATTTCAATTTATATTTTAAGTTTTACTTGAAGAACTAAACTAATGTAAAGCATGGTGCCTAGAGTTGATCATACTATTGTATAACTGAAATTTGCTGAGAGAGTAGAACTGAAATGCCCTCACCAAAGTTAAAAAAAAAAAAAAAAAAGCTGGGACAGTTTATTTCTCTGTACTATCTAAACTGAGTCTTTCCAATGACTAAATATATGTGCAAATACTACTTAAGGGCAACTTTTTATCTTTAAAAAAAAAAAAAAAGCAAGTAAACTAAGTCACATACTTTGACTTTATTAGGATTTGTGCATTGATATAGCTGAATGAAACTGGCTATAAGAACACAGGAGCTTAAATAAGCAGAGCTACAGACCCGGGCCAAAAGTGATCTAAGAGATCTAATTTAAACATGGCAGCTTAAATTTTAAATTTCCTTCCAAAAAGGAAGGAAAGACAGGTCCATGGACTTGGAGAAAAGTATAATCTTATCAGATAAAACACCAGAACGTGATAGCACAACAAGTTGATATTTTAATATCTTAAAAAGAACCAAGACTTTTTTTAAAAAGAGAACCACTAGCAAAAAATAAATAAAAATAAAATTTTAAAACCACCGCGTTAGCGTCTCCAAAAGCTTTACTCTTAAGGGAAAGAAATGTGTGCCAACACCGTCTTTGATAGCACAGTCCCATACCTCTCAGATTCTTCTAAACTATACATTTGTGAGAATTATCTTAAATATGTCTTCAATTTTACTACAAAATGCCCTCACTTTTCCTCCTACATTTAAAATACAGGTTATTTTTTCACTAACACTGTATTTTTGACAGTTGTTTTATGTGACTAACTTATTTTTGCAAAGGATAGTGAAAGGAAGCATTGCAGGTAATCTAGAACATCTATAGAACTCTCAGTGGAGGAAGATTCTGGAAACGCTATGCCTCATTACGAAGTAATGTGTTCGCCAGCTGTATACACCTGGCTGCAAATGGAATATGTGTGTTGTGTGTCTCCATAACATTTAAATATTACTAGCTAAGAAGTGCTATGAACTAAGTCATTATACTGACAGCTTTCCGTATATTATCCCTTATTTAATGCATACAATGATCATGCCATTATTTTGACCAGTTTCACAAAGGATGAAATAAAGGCTTGTAGAGATTAACTTTTCCAAGATCAGTCCCAGGTAAGTCTTCACTACTCCATTACACTGCTTCTTAAAATTATGGCAATAACATAGTGACTTTGTACTATAAGAAAAACCCGCTTAATTTTTATAAGAACCCTGTGAGGTAGAGATTATAACTCCTGCTTTACAGATAAAGATATTGGTCTTTAAAGAATAAAAATGGGATATGAACCCAAGGCAGTCTAACCTTAAAGTCAATGTTCAGAATCATTGCACGAAACGATCCACCAGAAAGATGGCTATTCCCCAAAAGGTTCAACCTTAAAAAGTAACATCTGGTCCGAGCATCAAAAGTAACAATAAATACCATATACTGAACATCTGGTTATGTTGTAAAATGTGAGCTTATTGCTTTCAAACATTACCTTGCATGGTTCTTATACAAATCCTATTAGGTGATGTTATCCCCATTTTACAGACAAAGCCAGTGAGGCCTGATGTTAAGCAAACTGTAGGAGGCCTCACAGCTCTGAAGTGACAGAATTGTGGCATAAACTTAGATCTGCCTGACTCCAAAACTTGCTCTCTTAACCAGTAAGCCACGATGGAATGGTAATGGAAATAGGAAAGCATTCTCAGATACATGAGTTTTCTTTTTTTTCTCTATCAAATTGTTAGAGACTCCCTATTATTGTTTTCCTCTACAAATAATAATACTAGTTGGCAAATGTACCCCCAGCTGGCACACTCATACAGTAGTAAGAAACATGCATGAGAACTCTGGAAAAGAACATGGCAACACGTATCAGAAGTTTAAGAATGTTCCTACCCAATAACTTCACTTCTTAACCCATCTTAATTATACTAGTGTTCCATAAATCTTGAAAATCTAGCTACTGTATTAATTTGGCCTATGGAGTATAATCCCCCCCCTTTTTAATGGGGTGTAATCTTTTGGTTAGAGATTATTCTTTCAACATGGAACAAACTAGTCAAGCTCTACTTCAGGGCAAGCTAGAGCCCACAGGCAAGCCCATCGCCTGTTTTGGAAATAAGTTTTTTTTTAGTGGAAACCAGCGATGCTCACGTCGTTATTATCTGTGCCTGCTTTTGTGCTTTGACAGCAGAGGTAAGAGATAGTGACAGACAACGTATGACCCCACAAAGCCATCTGCTCCTTTGCAGAAAAAAGTTTGCAGAGTTCTAATTTTTAGTTTTATAAAACTCTAACTGGACTACAGACTTTAAATGAGAAACTTCAAACAACCTATCATTTGGAGTTTTCCGGTTAGTTCCTATGTCTAATAGGTAGGACAGGCAGATCTAAATTAAGCAAACTCTGGCTTGGTTATCTCTAAATAAAAATGTAAATTTAAATGGATATAAAGAACCACAGCTCTCATCTAAGATTTATTTGACCTTCCTGTGAATACAGACAGAAGAGTCTGTTTTTCTCATCTTTAACCAACATGAAAATATACAAATTGAGAATCATCTTCACAACTATAAAAAAATAAACAATATGTGTAAGCTATACCCTCTTTCCTCATAAGAAAGAATATTCAGGGGCTCCTGGGTGACTCAACTGGTTGAGCATCTGACTCCATTTCAGCTCACGTCTTGATCTCAAGGTTGTGAGTTTGAGCCCCGTGTTGGGCTCCACGATGAGCGTAAAGAAGGGACGGAGGGAGGGAATGAACAAAGTAGCACAAACCTTGCGTATTCTTAAAGGACATAATGGCTTGTCTGTAGGGGTTTGGCGCATCTGCAGCATCTGTCAGGTTGGCCAGCACCAGCAGAAGCAAGAGACTCTGGTTGGCCAGAGGGGAAGACAGTTCTGGAGAGGCAGCTGCTTTGCTGCCCACACCACCCAGGGTGAAGACAGTCCAGAGGCCAGCTTGAGAAGAAAACACACAGTTAAGAAGTGCTGGGACTAGTAAGATGGATATATACATATTTCTGTATGATATTCCATACTTTTAAAAAATTCTATAATTTTTTAATTCTATATTTTTTAATATTTAAAAGTTTGAGATAACACTTTTCAATTATTAAACTGAAACAAGTTCATTACTTGAAAATTCTCATATTGCCAAAGGAGGTAAAATTTTTTAAGACTTCTGGTTCCTACTCCCATAATTCCACTTCTACTTCCCGTAGATAACCACTAATAAGACTCCTATATCTTTCTAGATTTTAATATAGCAAAACATCTACATAATTATAATAAAATTTCATGTACAATTTTATACCAATATCTTCGAAAACGTAAGCAAAATATTAAAATATCTAGGAAGATACAAAATACCAAAATTGGCCAAAGACAAAAATGTGAATGGACAAATAACTTTAGAAGAGTGGGAAATGGGGTCAAAGTGCTAGCCCTAAAAACCAAATCAAGTCCAGATGTTTTACAAGTAAGTCTACCAAGCTCTCCCAGTACAGACAATTCCCGTATTATCTAAATAGCTCCAAAGTACATAACAAGAGGCATATTCACACAACTCATTTGCCAAAGCCTGAAAAAGGCTCCTGATACAGAAACTGAGTAATGACTTCATTTAAAACAAGAGGGCATGGACTGCATGGAGCACTGGGTGTTACACTAAACAATGAATCATGGAACACTACATCAAAAACTAATGAGGTACTGTATGGTGACTAACATAATTAAAAAAAAGATTAAAAAAATAAAAAATAAAACAAGAGGGAGAAATGCAAAGTAGATGAAACCTTAGAGAAAAATTTGTTAAAAATTTTTTTAACAAAATGCATGATAATCAGGAAAGTTCTATCTCTGAAACGAAAGAACTGTTCATCATTCTAGAAATATATTAATTTACAGGCGTACCTCAGAGATATTGCAGGTTTGGTTCCAGACCACAGCAATAAAGCGAACAGTATTGTGATAAAGTGAATCAAATGAATTTTTTGGTTTCCCACTGTGTCTAAGAGTTATGTTTACACTATATTGTAGTGTATTAAGTGCACAAAATAGCATTATGTCTAAAAAACCAATGTGCATATCTTAATTAAAAAACACTTCAGGGGCACCTGGGTGGCTCAGTGGGTTAAAGCCACTGCCTTCAGCTCAGGTCATGATCTCAGGGTCCTGGGATCGAGCCCCGCATCGGGCTCTCTGCTCAGCAGGGAGCCTGCTTCCTCCTCTCTCTCTCTGCCTGCCTCTCTGCCTACTTGTGTTCTCTGTCAAATAAATAAATAAAATCTTTAAAAAAAAAAAAAAAAAAAAAACTTCAATGTTAAAAAGATGTTAACTAACCATCATCTGAGCTTTCTGTTGGTTGTAATAACTGATTACAGATCACCATGACAAATATAACATTAATGAAGAAATTTGAAATATTGTGGGAATAACCAAAATGTGATACAGAGATACAAAGTGAGCAAATGTGGTTAAAAACATGGGGCTGATAGGCTTGCTCGATTCAGGGCTGTCAAAAACCTTAACAAACAAACAAAAGGCAGTACCTACAAAGCACAACAAGCCAAAACACAGTAAAATGAGGTATGCGTGTATTTCTAGTCAGTTTGAAAAGATTGAGAGAAAGATAATCTGGCCAATTTTTAAAATTAAACCTAAAACTTATTAAGAATTCTTACAAGCCAGAAAAGTAAAGTAACCTCTTTTGATTCTAAAGTCTATCTAATCAGAAATCCCCAGTGACCACACAATGGAAAAACTCCCATCATTACCACCCACATCACCACCGCACCACTGGTGCTCCAAGCAAAAGCATTAAGGCAAGGGGAAAAAAAGAGACCTCCTCCTCACCCCCCAAAAAGGAAAAATATTTCATTATTTGCAAACAACCTGACTATGCACTGTCCAATAGAGTAGCCACTGGCCACAAGCCACTGTGGGAACTGGCACCTGAAATATGTTTAGTCCCAAATGCATTGTGCTGTAAGTATAAAATACTGAATTCTGAAGACTTAATACAAAAGCAAAAATTCCACACTAATTTTTTAATATTGATTCCATGTTGATATTATAATATTTTGGACATATTATATTAAAGAGTATTGTTAACATAAACTTCAACTGTTTTTTTTTTTACTGTCTGAATAAAACTACTAGAAAATTTTAAATTACATATGTGATTTGCATCTAGGCTCACATTTCTTTCAGATAGAGCTTCTCTAGGACATCAAGAGAATCAACTGACACACTATTAGAACTAATAGATTCTGTTCTACAACTAAAAAGATCAGCATATAAAAAAATCAAAAACCTACCTACGTACAAGCAATAAATAACGATAAGCCCCATCACTATAGCAACAAAGCCAATAAAATCTTCAAGAATCAACACAAAAGAAATGTGTAAGACCATCAGAGAGATAACCACAGACTTTGAGACTGAATTAATATATAGGCCCAACATATTTCTGGACAAGAAGGCAATACCGCAAGGGGCACCTGGGTGGCAGTCAGTTGAGCGACTGACTCTTGGTTTCAGCTCAGGTCATGATCTCAGGGTCATGAGACTGAGTCCCATGTTGGGCTCTATGCTCAGTGTGGAGTCGGATTGAGATTCTCTCTCCCTCTCCCTCCTCCCCTCCCGTTCATGCTCTCTCCAAAATAAATATTTTTTTTTAAAAAGACAATACTGCAAAACTGCCCCTCAGTTAATTTAAAATTCAGTACAATTACTATCAAAATGCCAAGAGGAATTTATGCAGTATTTGGTAATATAGAGCAAATAAAATATTGCTGGATGTAAAAATACATAGGAAATGGTTTATAAGAAGGACTAACCTGGGGAGGAATGTTCTGGGTTAAACAGCAAGACTTTTATAAAGCTAAAGTCACTTAAAAGCATGATACTGGCAGGAGACAAATTAGTCTGATGGACCAGAAATGTGTTCAAGTTCAGAAACAGAACCACATATATTTGGGAATTAACCTTATGATACAGGAATATTCCAAATCAGTGAGAAAAAAACCCCAAAATTCTAGAAATGTCTCTGGGACAGTAGAATTTAGTCATTTCCACAATATTTAATTATAAAAGTATGTGTGTAAAACTTGAGTTGAGAAAGGCTTTTTCTCATACAGAAAACAAAATTCAAGAAGATAAAAATAATGTAAGTTGACTACTTAAGATATGAAATACTTAGATGTGATTAAATATATCCTAAACAAGTAAGAGAGAAGAAAGTATCTGCAACATACAAAACAGAAAAAGATATTTATTTTTAAAAAGAGACCTCCTGTAAATCAGTAAGGAAAGCCAACAACCCAAAATAAAAGTGGGAACTAAAAATTCAAAGCAATAAAAGAGAAATTAATGTGATAATAAGGTCATCCAAGAAAACAATTTTTTTTTTTAAAGATTGTAACACAGATCGGTAACGGTATATAAGAAAATAACCAACAGTGAGAAATCAAAGTGGTACCAGATTTTTGAAGGATATTTGGCAGTTCTCCTGGAAACTAAAAATGCACTCCCCTATCAACCCAGCATTTTTTTTTCTTATACTAGAGAACACTTGAACAGGCACAGAAAGAAGCATATGTAAGAATATTTAATAATGTTTATAAATGTCAGAAAACAGAGACAATGTAAATGTTAACCAACAGTAAATGGTTAAAATAAGTTACGGTTTATCTATACTATGGAATATAGTATGAGTTAAGATATCTACGTATTAACAAGGAAAGATCTCTAAGATATACTAAGTTTAAAAAAAAAAAAAAGACAAGCTGCAGGAAAACTGAGGCAATAATTTAAAAATTACCCACCAAAGCCATGTGTGTGTGTAAATATTAAAGACAAAAACAAAATAAAATCTTAAAAAAGGTGGGGGGGGTGGGCGCCTGGGTGGCTCAGTGGGTTAATCCTCTGCCTTCAGCTCAGGTCATGATCTCGGGATCCTGGGATTGAGCCCCAAGATGGGCTCTCTACTCAGCGGGGAGCCACTTCCCCCTTTCTCTCTGCCTGCCTCTCTGCCTACTTGTGATCTCTCTCTCTGTCAAATAAATAAATAAAATCTTAAAAAACAAACAAAGAGGAAGGACTCCAAAAAGTAGACTCTTAACTACAGAGAACGAACTGATGGTCACCAGAGAGGAGATGGGTGGGGGATGAGTGCAAGAGGTGAAGGGGATTCAGGAGTGCACTTGTCATGAGCACTGAGCCAAGTACAGAACTGCTGGACCACTATACCACAGCGCACCTAAAACTAGCAGAACAGTTAACCTTATGGGAATTAAAATTAAAACTTTAAAAAAAAAACCAGGAAGGAAAAAATTTTTTTTAAATTTTAAAAAATAAATAAATAAATAAAAATAAATATTTAAAAACCCCAGGAAGGACAAAGTGTACACCATATTGGTAACAGAAATTACCTCTGGAGTGGAATTCAAGAAAGACTTGTGCTTTATTTGTATGCATTTTTTGTAAGAAGAATATAACCATTTAATTATTTAAAAATAAATGTAAAACAATAAAATTAAACAGAACAACACAGACCCCAGGGATATATGATTATGTAGGACATGGAAAAACTTTATTAGTATCTCATTAAGTGAAAATGCAAATCACAGGACAGCTATATACGCACACAAATAATATGCCCCCTTGTTTTTTAAAAACTGTAGCTACATCTCTCTGCACGTGAAGGCAGCTACAGGTGGCTGGCAGGGTATACTGCTAACCGCAGTTAGCTTTGGCCACGGGCAAGGGTGAAGGGCACCTGAGGAGTCTCTTACTTCTTTCCGTGTTTCTTCAGTGGACTGCTCTTCTACAACATGGACGGATTCAAGCACAATTCTCAGTTAGGAACGTGAAAGAAACAAGCGAGGGAAGAACATTCCCTGGTCACCAGCCCCAGAAAATGTGATGCAATGCACACTGGGGATGGGACTGTAATT